GGGGGGGTATGCATGTAGAAAAAATGGAGGAAGGGGGTTAGATAGCCACCCATGTACCGTATTCTCGAACAACATCTGCTGTTTCAAGTGAAAAACGGTGAAATGGTGTAGGTTTAACGCCCCTATCAATTTTCCAGTTTGCCCTGAGATCATTTTGTACCCCCAGGGTTGTATTCTTCACAATTTAGAACACTTCTAGTACGAAGATCTCTTTGAAACTTTCAGTATTTCTCAAAAAATCAATTTGACAGACTGCTATGCAAAGCGTACGGATCGGATTAACGAGTAAATTTCCTCTTTGTAAAGTGGTGGCACAGAGTTCCCCACGTCGTATGGATACGATAGTAAAACACGACGTACGGATAGGGTTAAAGCACGAACTGACGAAATCCCAACAAAAAGAGCCTACTCACCTCAGAGTTCTGCTACGTTCTGCGCAAATAGTCCTCTTGTATCCATGCGCAGTGGTCTCCGAGGCAAAGCCGTTGACCAGTAGCTTGACCTGTGTCCAGTAGTCCGGCCATGACCCATCCCCTACTTTTCCCCCCTCGGACTTTGGCCCAGACCCCAGGCTCGGCAATGGGCCTCTCTTCCACACGACAGATGGTCGGAGTTTGCCCACAGTCTTGATGCTCGCACACATTTCACTAACATTATTATAGTCTGAGAGATCGACGTTCGTGTCTATGTTTTCAGTGTTGAACATAATATTTAGATCTTCAGCGAGGGTCCTATCTGATGTTTCACATATTTTTTCCGTCCCCTCTGTGTGATGGAAACTAAGTGATGTAGCATTGCTTGCACGAGTTTCATCTGAATAGAAAATGTCTGACGTTGCACGATTTTCATCTGAATGGAATTTACAATATGGCGTTGCAAGATTTTCATCTGAATAAAACTCGTCTGACTTTGCACAAGTTTCATCTGAATAGAGCCTTTCTGACTTTGAAGGAGTATCATCTAAATGTAACTTTTCTAGCTTTGTATGAGTGTCATCTGAACAGAACTTTTGTGACTTTGAAGGAGTATCATCTGAATAGAACATGTCTGAGTTTGCACGATTTTCATCTGAATAGAGCTTATAAAACGACGTTGCACAAGTTTCTTTCTGTCCTGTTTTGAGCCTGTTCGATGATGCACCAGTTTCTATCGGCTCCGATGTGATTCCAAGTGGAGCTTCGGCTTTTCCCGTGCGTCCTCCTGGTGGCGTCCCTTGGGACTGACGCCATATTGTTTCTTGTGTCTCCAGCCAGACACGATCATGTCGCTCGGTGCGACCATCCCACGTCACCACAGACGACATTGCGGCGCAGAGCTGATTGGTCCCAAACTCCGAGGAGCCGCCATTAGGGATGTTCCGCGCTGCGTTGTACACACTATCGTCACTTCCGGTTTGTGTACATTTGTCCTTGAACTGCTGGTGGTATTGGTGAAACGGGTGTACAAGAGACTCGAGAAGTGGGAATTGTTTAAAACCTGGCAGCAAACGCAAGGCATCTTCTCGCTTAATGACGTCATTGCCCTTACCGTGGTTCAGCTGTTGCCGAGTTGGGCTTAATATTGCGTCTTTGTTGACCTTGGGTTCAAGGTCGGTCTCGTCTGACGGAGACTCATCGCAAACCGGAAGCCGGCGGCAGACTGTCAGCAAACGCCAGTTGTCCTCTTGATCCATGCCCTAGTGCTTTAATATGACTTTAGAGTTAGAGCATGAATCAGAATAACATTGAGCATAAGGTCATATGAATGTCAAGGTGGATTTAGTTTTAGTAGAGTTTTTTTTTTTTACCGCGCTCGCAACTGCATAAGGTCATATGAGTGCCAAGGGGAGGATGTCAACAGAGAAGTCCTTACAGGGAATCAGACTTACTCTTCTCACCTCTCTAGCCTCAACAGCACAAAGTCTGCTTCGACTATCAAGGCATCCCGGAAATAACAGTTCACAAGAGAGTGACAAACATACATAAAGAAGTAGAGGGAAAATGACGATAGTAAGGAGGAGGAAAGAAAAGGCAGCAGTTCCCTGTTGCAGTGCATCGATGAATCGGCCCATTTACAATTCTACTGCGCTTAAGAACAGGTTAATGCCCCCCCCCCCCCTTTAGGAATGGCCTAAAGGCACTTCAGTCAGTAGTACCGCCCCGGGGGGTAATGCAGCGTTTGGTTCACAGGCTCTATAGATGTTGAAAATAAAAAGTCCCGGATATCAAGAGATAATAATTTGCCTCATGATAAGATATAAGGTTAGATAAGGTTTGGCGTTTTACCACTTATACTCATACACACACACACACACACACACACACACACACACACACACACACACACACATAACACACACACACACATACACACACGCATACACACTCACATACACACACGCACACACACACATACAGACATACACATAAACTCAAACATGCACAAACACGCAGGCTTACAGTCACATGCATAATATAAATAAACAATAATATAAACAATAATAATGTTAAGCTAGATACATACTCAGTATTCTGATGGTAACTCGGTGTTATTCTGATGCACGCTCGGAGGTCATAGTACGTGTCACAACGCTGTGGAATCAGGCGCTCGTCAATTTTTGGGCATGTGGAGTTTTTGGTATCATCTGAAAGCTGTTTCATTCGCCTTGCTTCCAATGAAATAAATATCCATCTGTCTTGAATAAAACTCGAGATATTTACGATTGAAGGAAGTAAGGTCGCCTGGTTTCAGTGGGGAAGTTAGTGAGAAAATTGTCGCTAAAATTAGGTCACTCCAATAACTAAAAAGTCTTTAAGAACTGAAAAATGACATATTTTGAAACAATGAATCTACGTTTTTCAGTACAATTCACATGAAAATGTGTTTTATATGGACATAAAAGATATTAAGCCAAAAAAAAAAAAATTCGATAAAAATTACCAAACTGGCGGAAAAAAGCTTGTTTCTTCAATTTCGTTATTTTGATGAGCGCCTGATTTCACCACGCTGCCTAACATATTATGAATACTTGCAAAACGAGCAGAAACGTTTAGTCCGTCCCAGTGAGGTTAGTAGAGGTGACATAACCGCACAGCTAGCCTGTTTGAGCCCTTGCTCTTCATCCTAGCTTTAAAAGGCGAAGTATCTGCCCGGAGACGTCTCCGACGGAGATAGACCAATCAAAATGCTTTGTGCCTCTAGACCAAGTGAAAAAATCTTGGGGGTTACATGGGGGAATGCCCGCCTGTTTTAACCCAAAATTTGATATTTTGCAATCAGGTTTGAAATTTTATTGAAAATACTTGATTTGCGACAGTTTTAGTGGCTACATGTCGTTTGATCTGCAGCAAACAATACGCAGTTTGCGTCTCCGAATAGTTCCTGGGTGCTCGCCGGAGACGTCTCCGAATATCTTCTGCCGTAAAAGGCCTCTCATAAGTCAAGATAGATGTTGCGACGTAGTTGAGTTTGGAGTACCAAGTCCACAATACATGGACGCGACAGTGGTTCCCAGATATTTGCATACAAACTGAAGGTAGACTGCTTTGGGG